AATAGTGGGGGGGGGGGATGTCAAGCTGGGCAAAAGTTGGCCTGGGGAAGAGAGTAAGAATGGTCTGGGGAAGGGACACAGGATAGGACCAGGGATGAAGGGGCAAGATGAGGTTATTGTGGAACTCAGTGATCCCAGACAGGGGTGTCGGGTGAGTTGGGAGGAGAGGGGGGGCGTGTGATGACTTGGGAGGGCCTGGCAGGGGTGGGAGGGGCAGTGGACCTGCCCTATCTCTGCTCCCTCCCTGACCTCATGCTGGTCCTCCCCTTCTCCTCCCCCTGCTCGCTGCAGCCTCCCTCCTCCTCACTGTGGTTGGCTGCTGGGATAGACAGGCTGCAGCTCTGTGAGCCCCTGCTGCAGGGAACAAGCTAGGGACACTCGGAGAGCTCAGGGCTGTCGGGGAGCCCACCCTGCCCTGCCCTGAGGGCCCACCTCTGGAGGTTGGGGGCAGAACAGGTGCAGAGGCACTGCAGCCACTCCTTGCCCAGGTAAGGAACAGAGCTCTGGGGAGACTGAGGGAAGAGTCAGGAGAGGTGGGGGCTCTATCCTGCCCCTATACTCCAGGCAAAGGTTGGCAGGATTGCTCTCAGGAGATCCCCCCAAGCAGGGACTTTTCTGTTGGTGCAGAGGAAATAGGACGGTGCATTGGGCATTGGACTCCCCTGTGGAGGGTGCATTGGGAGGCGAGTTGGTGCATGCGTGGAGGGCTGGGCTGGACCGGGTCAGATGGTGGCACCAGGTTGGAGGTGTATATTGGTGAGGTGTGGCTCTGGGCCCTGGAGGTGCTGGTGGAACCCCAAGTGCTCTGGCTGGAGCAGCTGAGCGAGAGCTCAGGAAGTTGCCAGAGAAAGCTTTGGGCATCCAGACAAGGACTGCCAGGTGACAGCATGTGGGTGGCAGGGGCTGGGAGGGAGAGCTAGGGGTCTTGAGCCTTTAGGAAATGCTAGAATGGTGCAGTCAGGGAGCCCGGGTCTGGGGAGGCAGAGCCTAGAGAGGACCCTAAGACTTGTCCTTGGCTGAGGGCTCTGCACCCATGACTCAGGGTTCAGGGGGCTAGGATGACAGAGATGCCTCCAGGGGCACAGGCACTCCGGCTTCAAGCCATGCCCTTCCAGGCTTCCCCTGCTTCTATCCGTCTGAACCTCCCCCCCCCCATACACGTGACACACCCC